ACTATAATACGACGTTTAATCTTAGATCATATACTAAGTATATGATGTAAGCGTTTAATCAATTAAGAATCGATCACATTCTATTCTGTGGTTAAAGTGTTAAACCATAGACCTTATATTATGCTACCTACTAGTAATTAGTAAAAGGTCTATGGGTTAAATGATAAATGAGTTGTCAATTATTATCATAATCATTAATCACTAGACACTAATCAGAATTAAAAATTGGTAGGCTCATCTATTATATAGATTAAAAACACGATTATTAAACGAAATTTTTCTCAAAAGAAAAAAAGAATAAAAGAATTATAGGTAATAATTACGTTCCTATTCCTAAAAATTAGGAATTAATTCACGTTCTTATTCCTTTAAAAAATAATGGAATTAATTAATTCATTCGTTCCTCTAAAAAGGAATCAATTCCAGGAATCGTTCCTTTAGGAACGCGTTCCTTAACAACACTGCAATTAATACATTCATTATCATTAACATCATCTTCCTCAGAAGATGATCAGGGTGATGATGATGAGTTAACTAATTGGAATGATGTATTTGATCAAGTATCTTTATTTAGGTCGTTAATTTCTGAATGGGCTGTTTCATTTAACATATCCCAAAATGCACTTAACAGATTATTAACAATACTCAAACAGCATAAATGTTTTGAAACGTTACCAAAAGATTCAAGGACAGTTTTAAATACAAAACAAATATCTATTACAAATTATCGAACCGTGGATCCTGGGAAATATCATCATTTTGGTATATTAAATGGAGTGGTGAAACAGAATATCACCAGTTATTTAGATGAAAATAAAGTTATTCAGCTTGTTGTAGGAATTGACAGCTTACCACTTTTTAAATCTAGATCAGATCAATTTTGGCCAATTCTTGCATATATCCATTCAGATATAAATAAAGTGTTTCCTATTGGAATCTACGGTGGTAAAGAAAAGCCTATTGACAGTAACGATTTCTTAAAAGAATTTGTTGAAGAAGCTAAAGAATTAATTGAAAATGGTATTTGCATTAATAATACACTTTATACATTTTCTATAGATACTTTTTCTTGTGATGATCCGGCCAAGTCATTTGTCTTAAAAATTAAAGGGCATTCTGGATTTTATTCTTGCTCTCGATGTGAACACGAAGGGAAATATCCATCTAATAGAATTTGTTTTCCATATACTTCAGCTACAAACTGCCCCCCAAAAAGAACTCATAGAAATTACATAATGCAAACTCAGGAAGAACATCATGTTGGAAATATCTCCATTATAGCAAATTTGCCTAACTTGAATATTATTTCTAGCTTTTCTCTTGATTACGTGCACTTAATGTGCCTTGGAACCGTTCGTAAACTAATTTTATTATGGATTAAAGGGCCCGTTGGAATTCGTTACCCAACTTGGAAAATAAAAGAAATATCTGATTTTATTCAAAATATTAAAAAAAACATGCCTTGTGAGTTTTTAAGAAAACCAAGAAAACTTGAGGATGTTAATAGATAGAAAGCCACCGAATTTCGAGTATTTTTACTCTATATTGGAACAATTGTCACGAAAACATCTTTAAAAGATTTACACTGGAATCATTTCTTAAAATTAAATATATCTATGGTAATATTATTAAGTCCAGATTATTCAAAATATATTGAAATTGCAAGGAAAGTGAGAAAGTTAATAACTTAGAAAATATGCTTATAAAACAATATGGTATAGATGGACAGTTTATGGATAAAACCTCTGATCACTTTCAAAATGAAATTTTAAATTTACCTCTCGAAACTGAAGAGAAATTGGATGCCTTTGAAAAAAACCTTTTGAATAATGACTTCAGAACAAAAATGGTATTTTTTTTCCAAATCACAATTTAATATATCTAATTAAATTGTAATTGTAGAGATACTATAATTAATAAATAATATGTGTTGGGAAATATATTAGTTACCTATATTTTTAAACAATATTATACTAGTTTTCTGTATATTATGTATTAGATGTAATGGTATATGCTTGGTTATACAATAGTACTTATATTTATTTATGTTCAATTGTATGCATTATGACTTATAATTATAAGTAAATATTAATAGAATTTCAAAAAAATATATCCAGTGGATTAATTTTGTATTTATTTTGGAAAATGTAAATATATACAACAATATAGTTCATCTACTAAAAATAATACTAATTTAAAAAATAAAACTTAGTTAACACGTTGAAAATATTAAGTTTATTAAATGGAAATTAATTATAATAATGATAAGTGATAACATTTATATATAATCCATTTACAAAAATATTTTAATTATGATATTTTAATTTTCTTTTTAATTAAATTACAATGAAATGCCATAATAAGTTATATATTATACCACTATAATAATTTGAATAATACTAATAAACCTATCAGAATATACCAATATACTACTGTCAAAAATTAATAAGTATGTGTAAAGTTTATTTCTAATATTACGTTGTGTATCTTTGTAGATTTCAGAGCTTAAACGATACTCTCGTAATTCACTACCAAGTACCATACGTTCAATAATGAGATATGTTTTCAAAGATAATTTACTTGAAAAATATAGCTACAAAGGTTTTAAAAAGAAGAAGGTGTTTTACACATTATCAATATGTTCTGTGATATTTGGTGAGCCCTTTTTCATATTGAACCACAGATGTGATCTATTTTATAAGTTATAATACTAATCTATTAATTTGTGTTTATTTTAATGTTTAATTTACAGAAGCAATAAAACATATGAAAAAGTTTAGTAAATTTGATGCAATTGATGTTGAGACCCCATTGAGGACTTTCATTTCAGGGGCTAAATTCAGGGATACATCTAAGAAGTCTCAATTGGATACCCATAATTCTTCAGTTTAATTTTGTATAATTTATCAAAAATTATAAAAAAAAAAAAATCATTAATTGATTCACTGCAGTTATGAAGTTATTTTAGTTTTTTTATACGTATATTAATTTATATATATATTATGTATTTTCTATAAATTTTAATGAAGTCACATTTTTTCTTTATAATAAAATAATTATCTTTATTTATCTAAATTCTCTGTCATAATTTGACAATTTGTTGATATTTAATTGAATTTTTAAGTTTTTGTTGTAATAACAAAGTATATTGCAAGGTAGCAAATTAAATATGAGTACGTATTATTTTTGAATATTATTTTATTTGAATAAATGAAAATGAAAATTATATTATGATTGTAATGATTATTTGATATTCTGATAAAACATCAATAAAATGATAAAACAGTATTCCCAATTAAGAGTTAAAATATAACGTTTTAAAATTATTATGTATAGAATTTCATTAATATTTAGCTAAAATATTATATCATTATTATATTTAAAATATTAATATGACAAGAAATCTGTGGCCAAATGACAACATATGAACGTTGAAATAACATTTTTCTGATCAATATCCAATCAAAAACAAACGTTTAAATAATCAAGACATTAAAAATTTGGTAATTATTTTACATCAATTGAATATAATATTGCTATCTGGGATCGGTCGTATGCTTGTATTCAATAAATCCTTTTCTCGAATAGCTTCTAAATATTTTTCCCTATCGAAATCTCTGGAATATTGATAACCTTCTTCTGTACTTAAATCAACTAATAATTCCTTATCGTCAACTGGTTCGTTACTAGTTTCTATAGGGTTACCTGTTTTTTTTTAATTAATTCGCTATCCTTATTATTAATTATATCAGATTTAATTAATACGACTTCTCTAACTTCCTGGTCTACTATTTGTATGCTTCCAGTTTCGCTTTTTGTTAAACTAGTATTAGTTTCTTTTTGATTCATTAATTAATAGTCATAATCAATTAATTAAATTTAAATAATCAGATTTAAAATAACCAGAATTAAGATTTAATTGACACACTAGCGTAAAATAATTTAAATTGTACTTAAATAATTATTTCGTTAGTAGAATCTACCTAAATAATTATATCAAATAAAATATCTAATTAATAAATTACTAAACTACCAATTAAATAATAATAGTATAATAACGGTGTTATAATTTTCATATTATTAAATTTTTTTTTTACATTAATTCAATTAACCAGTCATACGACATCTATACTTAAATAGTAACTCTTACTAACTGTATTAATTTAATTAATTCTATATAATTTTTTATCAACCTATTCTTTTCAACACTATTTCGGCCTTAGTAAATAAATTCAAAAATATAGACTCACTGTCTTCAAATAAATTCACAAATCTCAGGACTTACCACACGGCCTCTAAATAAATTCAATAAAACTCGACTTCACTTGTCGTAATAATTCAAAAACACAAAAGGACTTACTTCACGGCCTATAAATAAATTCAATAACTCAACTTCAATTGTCGTCATAATTCACAAAAACTTAAGGACTTACTGCACGGAGTATAAAATCAATGTAGACATCAATGTCTTAAATTAATTCATCAAATACAAGGACTTACTTCTCGGCCTTTAAAATAAATTTCCCGCAAATACAGACAACAATTGTCTAAAATAATTCACAAAATATAAGGACTTACTTCCGGCCTTTAATTAAAATTCTCAAATAAATTCTTAATATATTCAACAATATAATTAACAATAAAGACTTAACTGTATTAAAATTATTAAAATATTTATAATAACTCAATTTATTATAATATTACACGATCTATTTCCAATTGAATACTACTCAAGATTTATGAATTGTTCAACCTAATTAATATTAACTATTTATTTACATTTATTTAATAATTAATTAATCACTATACTCAACCTGAAAATAAAAATTTTATTCGAATATATATTCGCTAAAATATTTAATTTTATTATATTTTCAATAAATTAAATTTATTTCTAATAAATTATTATGTTATTATTATTTACTTCAATGTTCTGAACAGCTATTAAATTATTTTATTTAAACAATTGAAATTTATTTTAAATAAAATTATTATTTTATTTAATGATTAATTAATTTTAAAGTCCGAATAATTATTATTTTATTTTAATTAAAGGATTGAAATTTATTTTTAAATAAAATTATTATTTTATTTAATTTTTTTTTTTCTTTGATTTCGAATAAAATTTATTTTAGAATAAATTATTATTGTAATGTGATTACGCAATTCATGTAAACGCTCATAATAACAAGAACCACTTATGTGAAAGGCCGCCTCGTCGACCGCACCCAAAAGTGGTCATAGCTAGAATGGACGCTCCAAACCACTACAACTTACCAAGGGCACCTACATGACACGCGCCGCTCAATTCAAAGGACGCCGCCTCCGTATATATAGAGGTCAGGGCCCCAATACACATTAGATGTACCAGAGGGTTCCATGTCTTTAAGCCGACGGTATCAACGCCGACGGTATCTACGTCGACGGTATCTACGCCGACCAGTGGCGTGCCTTGGGGGGGGGGGGTGTTCAATAAATTAATAATATTATATATAAAATAATAATTTATTATGATTATTAATACAAATTCCACTATAATTTCTAGAACATGAAAAGGTCAGGTAAAATAACAGATTTGTTCCAATTAAGAACGAATAAATGGCCAAAGACAACATAGGAAATATCGAAATGAAAATGTAGTTTCTACGTCAATAAATTTCGATTCTCAAGACATTGGTGCGTATATAAACTTAAGAGAAAAAAATATTTTTTAAATGATTTGAAACGTGAACAACTACTTACATCTCCGTGGGTCCCCCCAAGTGGATATGTATTTCCTATAGACAATACCAATAAACGAAATTTACGTTTTCAAATGAGTTGGATAAATAGATTTTCATGGTTGGTATATTCTGAAACAGAAAAAGGGACTCTATGTAAGTTTTGTGTTCTATTTTATAATTCTGATACATACATAGATAAATAGATCACATGATCTCCCTCCTACCCACTTACCCACTTGTGATAAGCATTGACGAAGACGAAAAAAAAAAAAAAATAAATAAATATTATCTAATACACATATATGACGAGTGACGACAAATTATTCAAAATTTATTTTAATGTATTATAAATTATTATTATTATTTTTTTTTAACATTACTATTGAATAATATGACACGATAAGCGAATTAATATCTTATAAAATAAATACACTAAAATACTTCAAATGGGTACGTTATTAAAAATTTCGAGAGCAAGATTGGAATTGAAAATTATGAGCAATTCCCTGCAAATAATCGGAGGTGTCGCGATTCCCATAGTCTTCAACGATTTCTTTAATTCGCAATGCTGTGTCTTGATAACACAGTTATAGGTATGTGTTTGTCTTCTTTGATTTTGTCCATGGTATACACAAAACCTTTATTGATCAACTGTTTGACTGATTCAACTTTTGTGTATACCACGGACAAAATCAAAGAAGACAAACACATTTGGAAATGTGTTCATTATAATAGACACAAGTGTCTGGGGCGAGAATGGACAGCTGAAGACATTGTCATTTATGAAAATGACAAGCATAACCATTTCCCAGATGTGCCCGAAATCCGAGTCAAGGAAGTAATGGCCTCAATTAAACAAAAAGCTGAAACGGTGATACACCACACCCAATTTTAGCATCTGTAACGTCGAGTAAAATTCAGACAATCGCTGACATTCGATCCAAATACGAGGATAAGGATGATCCGGACTTTGCATTGAACGTGCGAAAGTTGGACGCATTTGCATTTGTTCCAGAGCCCGACGTAGTTGATTGTTTGAAAGACTCCTCCGGACAAAATTGTATACGGATAACGAACACCTAATGTCAGATTTGGTAGATTATTTTGAGTCCACGTGGATTGGAAAGCCCCGACGAACCGGCCTTGGAAGAATGCTTCCTAAATTTAAGCTGAGCCTCTGGAATTGTTAAGAGGCATCGTTGAATGATCTACCCAAAACTAACAACGACGTTGAAGGCTGCCATCGAGGATTCAGCTCTCTTTTAGGAGCAAATCATCCATCTATTTGGAAATTCATTGAGGGTCTGCAAAAATGAGCAGAGCTTAAATAAATTCCAAATCAACCAGTACATTGCTGGATTACCACCAGCACAGGGACGACGGTGTTATCGAGACACAGCATTGCGAATTAAAGAAATCGTTAACACTGTAAGTACATTAGGCAAAGAACCTGCAGAAGCAAAAGTTATACATGAAACATTGAGAGAACAAATTCTAGCGCTATTTATTAAAGGATTAGTAGAACCGATTAGGACAATAGTAAAATCTCGTAATCCCAAGACTTTGGAGATCGCGAAACAATTAGCAAAGTCACAACAGGTAGAACTAAATTTGTAAAGGAAAAGTCATATGAATAGGAACAGTTATCCGAATAACTATTTACAAAATTATAATCAGCGCAGATCGAATTACGAAAATAGAAACAACGGAAATATTAAACCAAATAACCCTGTAAGGACAAATAATTATCCGCGAACAAACAATTTTTCTCAACCAATCAATAGGCCAGCAATAAAGTGCTATAATTGTAATGGTAATCATTATGCATCTCAATGTAGGAATAATTCGAGACCTAGTTATGCAAGCAACGGCAATAACAACCGACCACCTAATAGGAATAATTTTACGCAACCGCCAACGAATTATAATATACAGTTCGTTACGTGTTCATATTGTAATCGAACCGGTCATAAAATCGACTCATGTTAAAAAAGATAAATTATGAAAGTAGGGACGTTAATAATTCGGGAAACGAATAAGTGTCGAACGAGAGGCGCGGTACTCGTACGATTAGCCAGATTATCGCGGAACAACCGACGCACGAATATTTCACATATCCGCAACTTTAGAGAATAATCATATAACATTTAATTCATTCGCCGCAAAAAC